AATTGAACCAAAAATGAACTTTCAAGATCGATTGACATTTATCAAGAATTTTAAGTGGGAGAACTCGGTATTGACACATGACCAAAGGTCAAAAGTAGAAGATTTGCTTGTTGAATTTTCGGACATCTTCGCCAAACATAGATTTGATGTTGGTTACAATTCCGACCTCAAAATCAAACTGAAACCGGAACACACACGACCTTTGTACACACAAGGCCCACCTACGCCGATACATTTGCGACAAGAATTGACAGTGGAACTTGCCCTAATGCACTATTATGGACTTATAACAACATTGTCACATTCAAAATATAGCAGTCCATTGTTTGCACATCGAAAACCATCTGGTAAATTGCGGATGTTGATTGACCTCAGAAGAATAAATCATTCACTGAAGAATGACTATATCAACAGCAACTTTCCGATCTCAAACATGACAGATGCATCAAACCACTTCGCAGGAAAGAGCTTGTTTACCAAACTTGATTGTTCGCAAGCATACCACTGTGTGCAAATGGCAGATGACCTTTCAGTTCAACTTTTGGCATTTAATTTCGGTTCACGAACTTATGCATACAAATGCCTAGCTCAAGGTCTAAGCAAATCAGTCACGGGCTTTAGTTCATTCATACGGCACTATCTTGACCCATGCTTAGCAGCCGACTTATGTACACAGTTCATGGATGACATAGGAAGTGCAGTGAATAATTTTGATGAACTAATACCGACCCTCTCAAAAATTTTCGAATGTGTAAGGAAATCGGGATTAAAATTATCACCGAACAAATGTGAAATAGGAACACAACGAATGAAATTCCTTGGTAATATAATTACACCAGCAGGAATATCACCTGAACAAGAGAAAATTTCGACGTTCCTTAAGAAAATTAAAATGCCGCAAACTGTAAAACAAGTTAAAAGACTAATCGGATTTGTTCAATTCTTCCGGAATTATATGCCAAGCTTAGGTGAAAAACTGATACCTTTCTATCGCCTACTCAGAAAAGATATAGCATTTCAAACAAATGAAGAGCATCAGAAAAGTCTCGAAGTGCTAAAACATGATCTAATTCAGGCAACGGACATAACGCTCCGCTTACCAAAACCAGGATTACAATATGTAATACTATGTGATGCAAGCTATCATGGAACAGGTTTCGTGCTAATGGTTGAAGACTATGTGAAAACTGACAACAAAGGTGAAATGAAAACGTATGCACCAGTGTCATTTGGTTCAAGACTCTTCAACACAGCACAACTGAAGTTCTCCATCTACTATAAAGAGTTCTTAGCACTATATTTTGCCCTCGATCATTTTTCTCATTTCATCTGGGGATCATCAAAACCAGTGATAATACTGACTGACAATCGAAGCTTAACACAATTTTTCCAAGCGAAGACTATTCCACCCTCGGTTTGGAATTTCTTGGACCGCGTCATGTCATTCAACATCATTATCGCTCATATACCTGGAAAAGCAAACTATGCAGCAGATTTTTTGTCACGAATGCAAACTGACCCATCAGCTTCATTGTCACTGAAATTGACGGACAAAATACCAGTGCGTGAGATACAAATCGACACGACAGCGAAACTACCGGATGCATCTCTCAACCTGATCCACTCAATGGATGATGCATTTCCTGAAAAGAAGAAGATCGACGACAACCTCCGAGCACAACTGCTTGAACTCGGACTGTATGAAAACGTCATGAGAGAGCTAAGCTCACAGGAAGCTAGTGCAACCATTCAACCACAAAACTTTGTCCGAATAACGAGACCAATCATCGCAGCAGTACAACACCCTGATCCTGCTGATGTTTTCAGTGACCTGAATATGAGTCACGAAGTACTCGACTTGAAAAATGAACAAGACAAAGATAATGATATAGTAGAAGTTAAGGATTGGAAACGAAACGAACAAGTTCCCAATCTGACATACGAAAATAGCCGCAAGAAAAAATATGCTAAACAATTCAATAGACTGATAATCGACGACGAAGTACTGTATCGAAACTTCTACGATGACACGGGACACGTAAAACATAAGCAATACTGCCTACCAAAACATCTTTGGAACGAGGTCGTGTACCGACTACACAACTCGCGAACCGGTGGACATCTGGGAATGACAAGGACCACAGAAGAGTTCAGAAAACGATTCTACCTTCCAGGATTCACCGAATTTTTAACTAACACAATCAAAAATTGCTTAACATGCTTGCAACTCAAAAGAGCATCTGCAAAATATCAAATTCCGCCATTGCAACCAATCTCGTCATTGCAATGTTTTCCTGGAGACATGATGCAAATCGATATCGTTGGACCACTGAAGTCACCAGTGTACAAATTTGTATTAACTGGAATCGATGTCTTCTCGAAATACTTGTTTGCAGCACCATTGACAAACGCTAGCGCTGATACAGTAGCAAGGGAACTCACGAAAATATTTTTCATGCACAGCTACATACCGAAAAAGATCATAGCAGATCTCGGAACGACATTCACGTCAGAACTAATGCATGAATTGACAACTCTATTAGAAGTTCAAATCAACCACGCAACGCTGAAACATCCACAATCAATTGGTCTTGTCGAGCGATCTCATGGACCTCTAAAAAGGATCTTGAAGCTGAATACTAATGAACAATGGTCAGACTGGCACAAATATGTCCCATTGGCAACATTCATTCACAATACGTCGTACTCTTCATCAATTGGATGCTGCCCTAGCTCCATTTTTCATGGAAGAGAACCAACAAAACCACTTGATCTTCGCTTTTCGACGAAAGCAATGGAATCAGTAACAGCAGAATCAGACTTCGTTACGGCAATGCAAGACGCGATGCTAGAAAAGTTCAAAGAAACAAAAAAGAACTTGATTTCTTCGTACCACAAGTATCGAGGATATTACGATCAAAAGGCACTTGCGCAGCCTCTCACAGTCGAATCATTTTGTTTACTACTAAATCCTCTGCTGACTACACAGTCAGACTTTGGAAGCAAATCAATGCAAGTCTGGATACCCCTGTACAGAGTTGAGAAAGTGTTAACAAATTCGAACTATATAATTCGGAAAGTTGGAACTAACTACACCCAATGTGTGCACCGAATTCGTCTCAGACCAGTTGATCCACAGCATCAACCAGAAGATCTCAATCCAATAGATCCAACGAAGTTTCAAACGGATCCTTCACTCGGAAAATACCGAAGCGAACCAGGACTTTTCGACGAAAACTTGCCGAAACTCTTAGATGAGATCCAACCTGATAATCCTGACGAAACCGATCAACCAGCCGCACCAGCTAGAATCAGACTATCAGTGCCCTTTGGAGCGCCAGCAGTTGCAGCAGCACCTGCACCGATGCCAATTCCAGCAGCACCAATAGTGGTACCATTACCGGTCCCAGTACCAGTAATACCACCACCGCCGGATCCACCCCCAATCCCAGGAGCAGTACATGTGCATGAATTACCACTCGCTGAACTACCAGCAGCGCCACCAATGGATATCATTGATGAACAGGTCACTGACAGATTAACCAGCAACAACTCTGATCCTGAGGGATACAACCTCGACGAATTGTTTCGCGAACCACAGCCAGTTGTCAGACGAAAAGCAGCAGCTGAAGCTAGAGACCGAATTCACGCCCAAATTCGGTTTAGTAATGATGTTCGATATCACCCAATACCCAGCCGCCCAAAACAACCGCGAAAGTATGGACTCCGAACCGTTGACGGACACGAAGTGGCCCCAGTTACATTCATTCCACGATCAACGCAAAAGGACAATAAAGCAAACATACGAAAGAAAGCGGAGGCGGCGAATGAAGACTTTCCTTCACGGGATTCGAAAAGGAACATTATTATGGACAGCGTTAAACGAGCGAAACAATTCACTAAACAAAAAGATGGACCTGGAAGCAGCAAAGACTCGGTAAATGCAATATATGAACCAAATATCTTTGTGGGATCAGGTGATGTCCTACAGTTCCCTGGCTCTATAGCTCACTGCGTCTCAAGTGACTTTCAAATGGCAAAAGGAGTAGCACAGCAGATCAGCAGCGCCTACCCATGCATCAAACCAACCCTAAAAAGCATTGAAACACCGATAGTTGGATCATCAGTTTCAGTTTCTTTGCCTTGGGAAAACAAGTCAATTTTCAATTTAGTCACAAAACCACAATTTTTTGACAAGCCAACATACTACGATTTGTCAAGAAGCCTCAACTGCATGAAGCAGCAGCTACTGCAGAAGGGAATAAACGCTATAGCCATGCCGAAAATCGGATGTGGACTCGACAAATTGAAAGAAAGCAGAGTTTTCAGCCTAATTTGCGACATTTTCGAAAAAACGAACATCAAAATCTTTATTTATGTGTGACGAAAAATCACGATATCAGCTAGTAACGTTCATGCATGCATTCTTAACAATGTAAGCTCCAAAACCACCCAATCGATACAATTGAAGTCACGAAAAAACCAAAATAAAACAGAAAAAGTATAAAATTTCGAGAAAACTCTCATTTCCTCAAGTGGAGCTTTTCTGAAAAACTGACACCCAAGTCGAAATATACGTAATGCAACCGCTTTGAACCCGTGGAATACCTTCAAGGCCCAACTAGGACTCAGGCAGGAAGTCGGCTCACTAGGAGAAGTCAACTTCGCGAGATCTCGAAAAATCCACCTGTTGCCCATGTCTAAGCATTACGAATAAAAAATTTCTGCTCCCCCCAAAAATTTTAGCTAACGAAGAACCAATTTTTTTGGGCTCAGTGATCATTAGACGACCAATGAGGAACAGGCAGGAAGTCGGCTCACTAGGAGAAGTCAACTTCGCGAGATCTCGAAAAATCCACCTGTTGCCCATGTTTAAGCATTACGAATAAAAAGTTTCTGCTCCCCCCAAAAATTTTAGCTAACGAAGAACCAATTTTTTTGGGCGCAGTAATCATTAGACCACCAATAAGGAACAGGCAGGAAGTCAGTCCACTAGCAGATCACAACTTCATGAAGATCTCGAAAAATCCACCTGTTGCCAACGTTTAAACATTACGAATAAAAAGATTCTGCTCCCCCCAAAAATATTAGCTAGAGAAGAAAGAAATTTTTTGGGCTCAGTAATCATTAGACCACCAATAAGGAACAGGCAGGAAGTCGATCCACTAGCAGGTCAAAATTTGGAGAAATACATCAATTTACACTATTCCCATGTATTATGATAGGCAAAACAAGAAAAAATATAAAATTCGAGGGATATCTTCGCAGAAATTCAGAAAGAAAGCGTTCAAATGAGCCAACAAACATCCAATGTGCTTGTTAGGCAACCCTAAAAGGTTGTCAGTGATACTGAAGAACAACACGCGAATCTTGAATGCCAAGAAGATATCAAAAAAAGATAAACGAAATTAATGGAAAAAAAAAAAAAAAGTAATTTATCAACTACTCTAACTGACGCCAAATTTTGCTCAGGCGAACCAGCGAATTGTCTGAATAGCCTATAGGAGTGAAGTGCAGCTACAGTAGAAGAAAAGAACTGAAAAAAAAAAAAGCCAGACACTACACACAATACGATGATCGCGATCAATGCAAAAACATCGTAGAAATGTGTAATTTTGACTTTTTCAAAGAAAAAAGTCGATCACCTTCATTCAGGGAGTAAGGCCAATAAAGGCACAAAACGCCCATACGATGAAGACCAGAAGACTTCTGAAAAATAGACAACGAACAGTAAATGAAATATCAACCTTTTAGCAAGTAATATAAAGTACTAATTGCTAAGCTAGTTGAAAATTTTCAAAAGAAATCGTGAAGAAATCAACAAAACATATCACTGTTAAGTTGTTGATAATCAATTCACAATCTATGAGGCAACGATTGGAACCACACCGCCTCATATCAAAAAGACTTCAGCATCAAACGAGCACAAAAAGAATGAAAGGCAACAACGAACGAAGACAGCGATATCAAAAATTAAAACGAAACGACGACCAAAACTATTCAGCTACTCCACACGACAGTTCTTGCCGTGGAAATTTAGTTACAGTTGACAAATGAATACATCATGATATCATTAATTTATCCTTATCATCTATCACTTTAACTCCCATACCCCGACTCAAGGTGGCTTGCTTAAAAATTATCTCCCATTTAAGTTTAAAATAATTTATCTTCTCTCGTTTTATAAATTGAATTAATAAACTGTGCTTCTAATATTATGAGTTTATTAAATTATTGCGATATAACTTTTGATAGACCCATACCATATTGATACTTGTACATATTCTTAATCAAAGCAGTCTTAAATTATTATGTGAATTATTGTAAATGTATCTGATGAAACACTTCAACCACCCGGGAAGACTTCTTCTTGTGAGGTTGTGTGACATCATCCCTTCATGATGTCATTCATTCTAATTAACCATCTGAACCGAATAGATTACATAATTCACCTTGATGTTAAAATAGAGCTGCATCATATATTTATTTAACTATGTAAACATTGATGGTAATTAATACCAATCATTGGAGATTTATACCGAGCTACGAATCAATTGAATAGAGATCAACTTAATAAACTATTCCAATCATGCCCTTACTTGCGCCGATCGACTTGCGAAATATCAGAAGCTAGGAATCGGAACCAGCATCCTTTAAAGCAAGATAGGTCGTTACCGCTCGAGACATATCTAAATAATGAATCCAATCTAAATACAATTGATAGCCAGTAGTGCTAAATAACATTACCAATTGAACAGCTCGCATAACAGTAGACGACAGTATACCCGTATTATCCATCCGCCAGATACGGAATATTATAGGCACTTCGACAGTTTCGTTATCTGAGGGTTCTAGCCCCGCCATGAAAATGGTTCGTTTTGCAAGCTTAGGACTCCTGGTTGTCATATTTTTCGCGGACTCCAAAATATTCGCGTTTAATGCACCTTGTTCTTGGATATCATTAACTTCTTTATTATTTTCACTAATACTAGAAGTACAGTGATCGCTAACTTCCAAAACTTCTCGAGTTTCTTGATTACATATTGTTTTTTCAATTGGCATAAACAGCACTTGGGGTTCTCGAGACGAATTGATACTGATGTAGTTGTTGAGAAGTTTTTTAGCGCAGTTGTCATTTCCCAGATGGAGTTGTATCTGTTTTGCAACGTATGCTTCCATAGCGAGACCAGGTGTAGAGGCTAAAAGCAGGGATTTCATTTCAGGATATTTCAGCGGGAACTGCTAGATAGTGACTCACTACTGATAAATCTGATTTTACTGCTGTTCTTTTTGTTGTTTTCACAGGTCAATTTTTCAAGCTTAGTTACCTTTCTGTAAACAAAAAATGTTTTGCATTTTTCATAAATGCTTCTATGATTCCTTTAAAATAAAGTAGAATTTCCAATTCAATTCCGGTTGACCAATTTATTGTTGATCTTTTCGTGTGCAAAAAATACGAGTGCTTTACTGTTATAATTGAGTAATTTGTACCGAAGGTCTTTATACTGTTTGCTGTTCTTTTGACCCCTCTCATTCCAAAAGCATACACCTGCAGCAAATGACACCTTCGATTGTGCATTTTCACTTTCTTAATCTTGGCACCCGAACAGTCAAGATTGAGAAGTTGGGCAGCAGCGGTTGGTGAGCAAACTGCAGTTGTGAACTCGAGTGAGTTGGTGGTACTAGCATTGATGGGACTGGGCGGCAGCGTGAAAAAAGCTTCCAAAGTGATCGAATCCGGCATCCGTAAGGATTTTAACTGGTCTAAAACATTAGCAGATAAAAGAGCGCCATCCTCAGGCGGAGAATCAAAAATTTGTGTTTTGTATAGGTGATTATTACATAAAAAACATCATCATTAGCCACCACAAAATTAACAGCAAAACATTTTAACCAAGCCAACAGTCCGTTTGAACCAAAGAACCAATGAAAGAACCAATGAACTAAAGAAGCAATGAACAAGCGGAAAAAAACACCTGAGTATGAAAACAAAAAAATTACTTGAATTAAGATTTTAATTTAAAAATTAGTTGAACTTCAACAATAGCGGACATGGCCCAATATTAAATCAGAATAGCTAGCAGTGAAACCGAACTGGATGATAAAAATAGAAATAGTGATAAGCTAGCGTGTAACACACCTCCAATGCTTCGAATTAAATTCCACACAATTTGGAAACAAGATCTGCAGCATTTTAGTGTACTCGGACAGTACCGAATTACAGGGTTGGTAATTTCAAATTTTATAGTTTTTTAATTCCAATTTTGAAAATTCATGAAAGCGCCATATCTCAAAACTTTGAAGGGTCTGGAGAAATTTGAAGGCCAGATTTGCAACCGCTGAGCATAATCTGAGATCACACTACTATAGGGCTGGGAATTTCAAATTTAGTGAATTTTTTCAAAACTAAGTTTCCCAAAAAATTTGAAAAAATAATAAAAAACATTATGTCTCGGAAACTAAAATGATCTAAGCATTCATACTAGGAGGCAAGAATCGTGAAGCCTCGATACGTTGACAATAAGGTTGTCAGTTAGAACTTTCAAAACTTAAGAAATTTTTTGAGGTATTTTGAAAACTTTTGAAAAATTTTTTAAAAAAGTCAAATCTTGGAAACTAAAAGCATTTCAGCAGTCGCATTTGGGCGCAAGATTTATTTAAAATAAACACAAATTCAAAATAAAAAATCGAGAAACAAAATCTTAATTATTGCAATATACATAATATTGCAATCATTGCAATAGATAAAAACAAAAATTTTCAATAAAAAAAATGTCTGGCAGAATTGAATCAGTTTATACAAGTTTGACTGCATTAAATAAGCTTTCTTACCAATTTTTTTCCAGCATGCTTGGGTTAAAATCAGAGCGAATTGTTCACGTTGTTTATCATTCAATTTAATATTTTGCATGAACAACCTCTGCATCTGAGCAAACTGTTTCTTCGAACAGCCAAAAAAAAATTCCTTTTCAGAGCTCTCGGCACCATTTTTCCGACATCGATCATCTTTTTCGGTAGAGACTGGTTGATTTGAATCTTGCTTTGAAGTCTTAAGACATCTTTGCACGGTTAAGTTGTTGTTTTTATCTTGCATTGACTTTCTTTGTTCATTTTGCAGAAAAGTCTCCGATTCACCATCACGAGAAGATTTATCCAAGTTACCATCAAACAGAATTAGTTCTCGTTTTCCGGACGTAGAGCGCGTTTGTTGAGCTGAGTATGAAGAACTGTTGATTATCGACATTTGAGGTGAAGAGTTCGAATCTGAGGTTGCTTGAACTATAGCTCCAGAATCTTGTACGAGCATTCTGTGTACGAATGGCCTCTGAATGTGTGCACGCGTTGCATCGATGTCTTCCAATCGATTAACCAGAGGCTTTTGTATAAACGGTTGCAAATATAGAACAAAAGATCCTGGCTCTTGCAAGTCTCTGAATCGTACCATAAGTTTTTCTGCCAGCTCAGGACTTTTATAATAAATCACCAGAAGCTTAGCACAGCAAGCGTTCAGAGCAACCAATGGCTTCGAGCCTAAACACAGATACTGAGACTAAAGACATTCTTGCAAATTATGCAAACAGTAATCAATGTGGACATTTTACCTAAATGTGAATATGCACTTCGCATATTTAAGCAGTGAAAACGACGAAGCTACCAAAAAAACGCAAGAAACGCCGATTTTAAGATGCACTGGTTTTAAATAAGAACATGAGGAACCATCCTGATCATATAGAAAATGAGACGCAAGCCCTAGGATGTTCAAATTGAGAAAAACATGTCAAAAAACACACTCACCAGCGTTGAAAACCTTTCGAAGATACTTAACGAGCAGAAACTGAGCCAGTAAATACTTGAAAAGACGCTAGTTGAAAACAGCGCTGATTTAAATTATCCGGACAAAATGACCAACGCGTTTTTCTCAAATTGGGTTAAAATAAGACAGAAAAAGAAGAGAACATGAGTTGCTTAGAAGTTTCTCAGAATTAATATGGTGCACTTTTTTCTCCGAAATTCTCAAACAAAATTTTACCCCAAAAATGGGTCATTTTGGCTTTTTCAAATAATCAAGTATTATGCTTAAACAACTTTGTTAATTGATGAGAAGTGTGTATCACAAGAAGCCTCTTACATAGCCCAACAAAGTTTCCAAGCATGAAATCTCCAAAAACCTGTATAAGAGAAAATATTTTTGCTTGATAGTCAAGAAATGTGATTTTTACTATATAAAACCCAAAATCTTTCCTTTAAAACAAATTTTAAACAATTTACGCAAAATGCTGGAGATTTGACCTTTATGGAACTTTGTTGCGCTGTGTAAGAGGCTTCTTGTGATATAAATTTCTCATCAATTAACAAAGTAGTTGTAGCGTAATTCTTGATTAATTGAAAAAAGCCAAAATGACCCAATTAGGAGAAAAAACTTCAGCATATTAATTCTAAGCAACTTTTGTTCTCTTCACTTTTTGTCTAATTTAGCTCAAATTGAGAAGAACGCGTTTGAAAATTCAAAGTTTGGTCATTTTTTCCGTATAATTTTAAATCAGCACTGTAGAACAAAAAACTGTTCCCTTGAAAATATTTGAGCTCAAGCTTTGAAACTCGAAGTTTTTACAACCTGCTTCTCCTGAAACACAAAAGAATAAAATCTTTTGCCTTTCAAACAGCGCGATGTAAGGAGACTAGACCTTTGTAAATTAAACCGAAACCTTTTAAGCCAAAAAATGAAACAAAAAATATAAAATTCACAAATTGCAAAGCGACTTTCTTGAACAGCAAAAATTGCGTAAATTGGAAGGAAATCGAAGATCGATGTTTTGTAAAGTTAGCAGACAAAATAAGCAGAAAAACGATAGTCCGACTTTTCAAATAATCACAGACTTTCGGAGACCAAGGAACGCGTTTCACCACTAGACCTAACGGCAATTAATAAGGTTTCATAATAAAGCAAAGTCAATTGCACACAGCTTTTTATGGAAACATTCCAGTTCCCGATTACAAGTGCACTTGCTCTCAGAAGTGAAAATACCACCGCTAAATCGAGAGTTAATAAGCCAGCCGAAGTTTAAATTAACCGAAAATGAGCGGAGTATATAGCCAGCCAAAAGATTATATCAATTTAACGAATTTGTATAATTTTCATAACTGTTACATAGTTGTTACATAACTATTATATAATACCCACTTTTGTATTTTCGGCTGGTTGATACTTCGGCTGGTTTATTTACCACCGGTAAAACTTTTCACTGCAGGCTTTTTCGCTACAGACTTATCGGTTTTGAGGGTATCAGACAATTACAAGTGGCAACAATTGGATTCAATTCCTCGAATCACCTATTCCAGATGCCGCACACTGAACTCCAGGCAGAATAGCCTTCATAATGCTTGCCTAACAAATGCCCGCATCATTTAACGCAATTTAAAAAAAATCTTCGTATAAACCCAGAAACGTGCAAGACTGCTCGTATCAGTACGATCCTCTCATTATTCTGACTGCGTTTTAACGGCAGTCAAGTAGTTCGAATGAACTACGAAATGAATATTCCGACCGAAATGGGTTAAATTTTGAGTTTGAATCAGCGAAACAGACTTTAAAAAAACTGAAGTATATCATGACGGCGAAAATGATACTTAATTAAACTCAAAAAAAATTAAGTAGTTAATCTTAAAAAAACAACAGAAACAATATTTTCAACAATAATGCAGCGCGTGATCTTCTTTGTATTCATTTTTGTTGTTGTTTTTTCCTTCTAGCTTTTTGATAAAAAGGAAGAATCAGCAGAAAAGCAATTCGATTAGGGAAAAAACTTTAAACAAATTTTGATGGCTGTCTGTTAAAACCCGAGCAAGTGTTTTCGCACAATTCCTAATGGGGCTGAAATTTTCCGAAACTATCTGAAAAGCGTTTGTACGTGTTCTGCTTGATCCGTTAGAATGTGTTTAAGTTTTTTTGTGATCATGTTGAACACTATCGAATCGTATGAAGCTATTAAATAGCTCGGGAATATCATAACTTCTAGACGTTGCTTGTTTTACCGAGAGCTTCTTTAGAGTAGCAAATTTTTACTTAGTCTATAAGCGTTACATCGTGTTACTAAATACGTCAATTGATTGAATAGGAAATATGATGGCTTCGATTATAGTAATCAACTTGAAACCTAAGATGGTGCTATAAGGGGTTACGTGGGGTGAGCACCACTTGCAATACAAAAAGCAAGACAAATCAAAATTGAAAAACAACTTCAAACAATCGTGTTTTGTCAATTTATTTTTAAAAAATTGCATCATAAGCCAAAAAAAATCCTGGAACAAAAACTAATCAATCTACTAATCAAAATCCACTTTCGAAACTAGAATTCGTTCACATTTTTCATGACCTTTACCTTCTTTGAAGACTTGTACACAGTTTGTCTTCCTTTTCACGAGGAACAAGAACTGAATTTGAAAAAAATCAAAATTCAAACGGCGAAAAAACAAATTCGAGTCTGAAAAAATTTCAAGGTTTTTTCCTAGGAAAAAAATCACCAATATCAGTGTCTTCACTACGTTCAATCATACGTTAAAACTGCATAATAGAATAACATACCGTACGCTTGCACGCTGATGAGGCTTGAATCAGAGCCCGTCATCTTGCATCCATGCACTTGGCCATGCTCTTGTCGATACACAGAATAGGTTACCCGATATACAGCATGTATCACCCCCAGATAATTCAGAGCTTGGAGTGGACTTTTACAGTGGTCCAATTCCACACTGGATTTAAATTGGCTCGGAATTATCTTCACGTTTTTGGAAAGCGTCTGGTATTCGTCGATGCAGTTTCGGATGGTAGTCACGTTGGATCGATATAAAATGGCCATAAATAAGAATCGAAGGTACGCGGAAATAAAATAATTTGAACAAAAGCGATAAGAGAAACGAAACAAAACAAAACACAAATTGATAATTCAATTTCGAAGTATAAAACAAATCTAACTGAAACTGAAAAACACCATGACAAAATGCACAATGATATCCATGAGCATTAAAGCAGCAACCAGGAGAAGCTTGCCTTCGAACTGTGATATACGAACAACCAGCAAGACAGTGAGTAAAATTACATATACATTTTCTTTTCAAATGAGAAACAAGTACTTTTATGTTTCAATTTCGAGGATCTTTGGTGATACATATTTGTTTTCTCTTACCAATTTTTTCGTTTTCTTGCGCGTGTGAGGAAAAGAAAAATGAAGTTCAGAAGAACAAAAATTTTGGCTTCAATTTGACTATTTTTACTTTTCAAAACCACCAAAAATTGACACATCATTATTCCCAGCCATTTCCGAAAATCTTTTTTTGTCTCGTGTTATAATTTATTACTGGCAATATGCTAAATGAAAACTCAAAAAAGTTGTATATGTATATTTTCAATTTGCTTTTCGCTCTAATCGTTCGCCTTTCTCCAAGCTCTACTCCAATTTTACTCTGTAACAGTAAGAACTTAGTCCAGAATTACTGATGACACTTCCAAACACTCCACTTTATAATCACTTTTATCTGATGCTGTCGTATAAAAAGCTTCACTCGAAAAGATGTGTTTGAAGGAAGTTAAATTGAATAATTAAATAGCCAGTTTATGTCTTCAAACTACAGAGTGATTTCAAAACTTGTTTTTTGTTTAAATATAAATCCTCTCCTATTTCACAAACATTTGGGTTATTGATTTTTGTAGTAAACAGCAAAAATTCGCCGAATTCTGATGATATAACTCATTGAGTTGAATTGTTTTTTGTTCACGCATGTTTTCACGTTTCAATTAAATTTCATTGCTTTTTCTGCTGAACAAGCTACCATATTGCTGATATGGTAGCCAAATAAATCCATCCCTCTTGAAAAACACGAAAGCAAAGAAAATATTTTGCTCTGTAAACTACTTAATAGAAGTTGACTAATCCAATAAAACATCATCAAAAACCTTTGAATGGGAAAAAAACAAAAACACTAAATGAAATAATTTGAAATCACAGACGATAAATTTTCAAACTATTGAACCATTTTCAATTGTGGCAAAAACTGTTCAAATCAAAAACCATTTCTTTAGAAATAAAGCCGTTAAAAAGCATACTATACACAGAGGTGAAGCTGCGCTTCGCAAACACTTGCGAGAACACGACAAAAAAGCAGCTCTATCAAGTGAAATAAGAAAAAGCAGAAATAAGACTCGAATTCACAAAAACTCGGCTAGGTGTCGGATTCAAATCTGCAACCTAGCAATTAGAGTCTGACACACAAACCACTTAGCCATCGATCCTTGAAATCCCCAAAATATAGCCACCAATAACGCAGCTACATATGCCATTAAATGACCAATTCGATGCAGCAAAAGTAGCACCAAATACAAAAACACACAATTTTGCATGTAATAAACTGGAAAGCATAAAGCCAAATTATGTAGACGTTACGGATTTCAAAAAAATTGCGAGATACATTGAGTTAAAAAAATTTCTGAAATCGAGCTTTTTATCATTGCACTGTTGTTTGAAACAAAGTTTTTTTTTCGGTTCATTTGATAACTTTTTACTCATCAAATGTCAAAGCACATATGATATTATACTGCTACCGACTCAAAGCCTACCGATTCAAAAGTGCCACCAAAAATAGCACTTTTAATTGCGACTTAGCTTGGAAAAAAGAAAGATCGCAAGTGTAATAATATGAAAACAACTAAAAAAGAGAAAATGAGCCAAAAGAAATGAGGACGAAAACAACGAACCCAAAAAATGAACATTTTTCGAATTGATTTTTTTTAAATTACCACTACTAAAATTGAATTTAAACGTAGTTTTATCTGAGTTTACAAGAAATTGAGCATGTCTGCCTGAGTGAAAGTAAAAACATGCCTTTCTTGCAGATTTGTACGAACAGTTGTTAACGGGGGAGAAAGTCCAGTTTCCAATAACAAATACACGTTCTCTTGCAAGTGAAAACATAGCCAATGAACAGTTGGAAAAAATTCAATTCACGCAAGGAAACAGAAAGCTGACTTTCGAACTTGATTTTTAGGAACAATTTATGATTGGCACTTTCATCACAAGGATACCTTAATTTGATAAAAGTGCAACGTTAGGCAAAGTTTTTATTCCGCTGGGAAATCTAAAGATGAATTCCACTTCGAAACTAGAAATCAATCACATTTTTTGCACCATTTCCTCTGTAATTAAAGAACAATTTTTGACAACTTTTTAGCAAATGAACTTGAATTAAACTCAAAAACTGCACATGCCTAAGGTAATTCATAAACGCAGTAATATATGTGGATGTACTTTCTGTAGTTCTTAGAGCATTTTCACTCTTTCGTGAGAAAAATCATCACGACCTATATAAGAGTCTGAATTACGTTCATCGACTTTTTATAAGAAAAACAAGAGGTCGCTTGCCTGTTTGCAGGAATTAGATAATCTGAAACTAGAATTTTTTTCAAAATCTCATTCACTGCTATTAAATTTCCCTACTTTTACATCAGTGAAAAACTGAAAATATATCAATTTAAACTCTAGTGGATTAATATTGTTAAATTTGGGCAACTTCTTGCATCCAAAATTAGATACGCGAAATAATTTCGTGAAAGATACCCCTAAAAAATTTTCTTGCGTTATTTTTTTATTTTTCAGTATTCATGGATTGGAATTGAATTGTACACAAGTACAAGGTTAAAACAGCATTAGTGCTTAGAGCTAGCAGAGAAGATTTCTAATAATTCTACCCCTGGAAAAAAAATACCTACAAAACGGAAAAATCGAAATTTATTTTTATGTTTAAATTTATTGATGTGTTTTTAAGAGCTCCCAAGTGTGTTCAATTTGAGCATTCAAAAACTTTGCACCAGGGTCTTATGAATTCATAAACAATCTCGGCAAATTTTATTTGCTCATAAAATAATCTGAAACAAAATATTTGGTAAATAGGCCGAACATTCTGTGAAAAAATTTGTTTACACGAAAAAAGTTTAGTACCCAATCTCGGAAATTTTTATTTGGTCATAAAATAAACCGAAACAAAATATTTCGTAAACAGGCCGACCATTCTGTGAAAAAAGTTGTTTACATGAAAAAAAAATTTAGTACCCGATTGTAATACCCTTGCTCATCGCAAGGGTAATAACTATACAAGCAACTAGATCTATCAAAATGTATGAACGTAGTTTAAAAAACCGAACCATACTATAGAATGCGAAACTATCATCGGAAGCAAACTTACTAAGCAGTAACAAAGCCGAACCAACCTGAGCAGCAATACTTAAAATATAAAAAATTCAAAAAGTTTTTAACTGGTAAAAACTTTCAAGTTCCTCTTTCCCTGAAAGCAAACACACGCATTAAGAAACTTTTCGCTAATCAAACGGATAATTTAAACAGTAATAAAACAAGATAGAAACTTGCAACAGGGTTTGCAACGGGACAAAGAGGTGATTAAGTTCAGGAATGAGTACTGTGAACAAACTATTCGCGGGAAAAAGTAGGCAAATGTTGGTTGCTACGGGAAAGGTATGCTGCTATGTAAAGAGCAGATTACCTAACAATTTGCAAACATTTTACACAGAGGCGAAGCAGAGCTTCGCATCAATTGCGATACCACAAAAATAGTATTGCACAATACAGACAGGAAAGAAAAACTTTTAACTATAAATTCTATTCTGAGATTTTTAACGTTTTGTGCAATTCGGAGGAAAGCATACAAATAACGGTTCCCTGAACGTCCCAAAATTAGCTGAGTACGACAATAAAATGTAAGCCGAAATCATTTGGGCCGAAAAACTTTTCAAGCCAAAAACCAAAAAAAGGAAAATATACGAAGTCAAGGCAAGTAAAATTACAAACTGCAGGAGTAAATTAAAGCATAAAAACAACTCCGATGAAAACTAAATGCGGCAAGAGTTTCTAAGATGTTGCAACTAAGCCGACAAAACATAAGCAGGCAAACAATAAGCCGACAATTTTTTGAAACAGAATTTCCCGTTTCGAAAAAAAGCAGGTCCTGATCAGATTCGAACCCAGGACCTTTGCCGTCCCAGGCATTTTCGTTACCTCCAGACTAAGTGTGCCGGAGACGCTTAAAAATTTGAATTCAATTTGATTCAAGACACCAAGTGATCCTGTTATACAAAATGTTAACACTAAAAAATCTATATTCCAATTTGATAACGCTTGCTAATCGCAAGCGTAAGCAGATTAATTGCCTAATTCCACCTGAAATCTATCAAGGATAGGTAAGTTAAAAAACAATATGAGCGGAATCTATTAAAAATAATATGAGCGGAATCTATAAAAAGTCGAAATGTGTCTCGAAAAAAAATCGCCCGGAGAACAAATATCCATCCCTTTCTTCCAAAATCTTAACAAAAAAATCATTCAGATCGTGACAATTTCTTGTTCAAGTGGCATGAATAAAACAAAACCTATATTAAGGTTCTGTTTTTTTCAATTAGTCATGGCTCAAATTAGATTTAACATGATTTGACTTTTTAAGTTCAATTCAATTCCTCTTTCATAATTGGAGAGCAATTTTGCCTGCCTTTTAGCAAATGCACTTGAATTGAACTCAAAAACTGCTCATATTACTAAGGTCATTCATAAACGCAGTAAACAAATTTGAATGCAACATTGTATCAGATTGCCTACTTTCAATTTAAATCCATCAATGTATGTAGATTAATACCCATTTTAATGACAACAAGAAAGCTCGCATCATGGCAAATGTTACGACTGCCCTTCAATGTCTTTGAAATTTTTTTTGAGAAAATCAATTAATATGTATGAATGCTCATCTGTAGTTATTAGACTTTTTCATTGAAAAGAAATGACCAAGACCTATATAAGAGTCTTCATTGCGTTCATTACGCTTAAAAATTAATAAAATTTTTAAAAATTTGAAAAATTTATGAGCGGAATAAATAGCCGCTTACGCGTTAATAGCACGAAATACCTCGCACATTATTTGTCCCAAATTAGCATGAGTGGCCCTTTTTAAATCCCCGTAGCCTTTCAAAAACTGATCACCTCTCAGATGACATGAAAAACATATTCACAATGGCTAGTTAAGACAAAATTTGTCTGGAGAGAAAAACCAACCCGAGCACAAACATTCGGTCACTTTCATCGAAATTCGTAACAACAAATCTTTTAGATAAAAACATTTTCTTTGCTGAAAAGACAATGCACTAAGTAGAAACCGTTATCTACGTAATGTTCTTTTTTGTTCAAATAGTCAAGGCTCAAATTCGATTTTTCGGATGTGACTTATGATTTATTTTAAAATTGAATTCAAATTGCTCCGCCCTCCCTTACATCTGCTACTGAACCTGGTACTGCGAAATTACTTAGAGAAGGCTCGGAAGTAACTTATGATCTTATAATGGTTTATAAGATGACAGGACAACCGAAGTATCTCGCCTCTAAATTACTAGAATAAAAAAATCATCAGTGCAAAAACTAAATTCTCATCAATTGATTGTGCATTAAACTGTTCTGAATTAGCGTCAGCATCCTGAGACAAATTCGTAAGATTATCATCTTGGGAAATTATGAAAAGGAAAATTTGAGTGACCTTGTATAAGAATATTGCTTTCATATCTGTTTGATTTTTACTTGAATAAAACAACGAATACTAAAACAATTATTGCATTAAAAAACAAATTGCGTGAATTTACAGAATATGAAAATAGACTTTTCTTGAAGTAGAAGTAATTCTGGGTAAAACTTTCTATATTTGAAAAGAGAATTTTAGCAGCAGAGGCCTGAGTAAGATTTTAAAAATCAAATAAAAACAAATGGCAAAATTCAGACCTTCAAATTAATACTCTTATAAGATATGCTAATATTATTTCTTTTCAAAGTATATACGCTTGTAACAGATGTTGGATAACTTATGTTGTCAGCTTGAACGTTGCCAAATAATCAACGACAAAGAGTCTAAATCTCGGAAAATTTTGGCGAAAATTCCAAATTAATAACATCTGGATAGAATTAATGTTCAGTAATCTAAATTCTAACTCTACTCTGTAAATGTATGCGATTGACAACTGATTGCTTTCTAAACTGAGGTTTCGCCCTGGTCTCTTGGCTTGTACTGATTGTGTGCTACCTGTCCTCCGCTATGTTTGTTTCCACGCGAAGCACCACCGCCACCTTTAGCACCAGAAGTGTTCATATGTCTAGACGGCGGCGCCTGGAAACGACCTCTCAGGCTCTCGTCAATTTCGCGTCCGAGTGAACTCGCGTCATCTTCATCATCATCGGAATCATCTGACGAGAAACTATCATCGCGGACGTTCGATGGACCCACCGGGTCGACGAAATTACCTTTTTGTCGACCTTGTGACTGGCTTCGATTTTGATTCCGGCTACTGCCGGAACCTCCAGATGTGTTACTTTTGGCAGCTGACTTGAGTTTGGCGTTTCTCGTGGCATAGTAGGACTGTAACAAATCTGGCGGTGGTTGCGATAAACTTGACGAAGGAGTGTTACACCTGTTGGTTAGAAATGGATCAACTGTGCCCTGTTTGACTGATAAATTGGAGCCCCCTGGTGAGTATTGCGGCGATGGTGCGTTGACACTACTCAACAGTGGGTTATAAATAGCGCCTCCCTTTCCGTGCATCGGACCCTTGTTTGGCTGACCTAGAGGCGTAGGCGGAATCGACACAGGCGTATTTCTCCCTGCTAAAACCCCTGTATTATATGGCACTGTTTGTTGCATCATTACAATTGGTGAGTTTACTCCGACTCTTGAGCCATCGTGATCAACTTGGCTCATCAGACCAAGTTGCTGCACCTGCCATGGTGGCATTGCGCCTTCAGGGTGATTATTTTGGGATCTCTGGTGCATGGAACCCAAATGACTAGAACTACCCTGGAGCATTCCTTTGTTATCCATGGGAATACTGGCTAACTCCTCGTCAATCCCACCTCTAACACTGCTACCCGACCTGGAACTGGCAGTGTTTCTCAAGTTAGCCGGGAACACTGTTCTACATTTGTCATGTGACCTGCTAGTCTGTGATGCTTTGTACGGCTCTCCCGGGTTGTAAAATGCACCGTTGTTCCGAACACAGTCGCTTGACCCTGAGAAAGTGACTGATGTTGTTTGGTTCTGGAGCGACTGTTTTAGAGACATTCCAGGGTGGTAACTACTAGGATGCGAACTGCCTCCTCCGTTCATTCCAGACTCCAAACTGAGGTAGGAATTGTGATGTTTTAGATACAGCGAATGAGTAATCTGAGAAGGCTTAGGAAACGACACTGTCTGTTGGCATGTAATAGATGCAATGTAACATTGCTTCACGTCTGAGCGAAATAGGCAGAACTTAAGGAACATGTAAGCACCCATCAACGTGCATGAAACTGCAAACATGACGCTTATTTGAACTTTGAACGTGCTTAGTCTGTGCATGGGATGAAAATCTGCAAATACAAGCAACGCAGCTGACATCCACGATGCGAAAAACAGAATAAAAAGAATAAGAGCCGATCTAAGCTGTCGACAACATGCGCTGTCTGCTTTGACGCTGAATGTCGCTGTTACGTAATTATGAGCAGCACCATTAGCTGAAGTGTTCGTCTGTCGTGAGAATCGGTTGTTGTTCGATTCCGACGCGAGTCCTCCGAGACCTGTTCCGATGACAGACGAATGCATCGATTCGTTATCAGTCAATGCACTCAATTCTAATTCTCCATCTAGATACAGGGGTCCATTTGAGCACATGTTAGGATGAGTGTGCTCTGAGGGGTTGAAACACTGTTGTCTGACTTCTAGTTTACGAGGTAGTTTCGGAATGATGAGAAGTGTTTTGACCATGTACAGGGAAGAGAAGACGAGACATAGTGCCACCGGGAGGAAAGATGTGACGGCGGCGACTGTCGGCGAGATCCAACAGAGAGCACCGGAGTCTGTTTGGGAGTCAGAACTGGAGTGAAATTTAAGACTGAAGAACGAACTTGCGAGACAGACTATCAACGGAAGACCTGAAACGAAAAAAAAAACATTCAATTATTGAAACTCATATGATAACAAGAACAGCCGGTTGCTGTGCAAGTAGCTCAGAAAGTTCCGCGCACAATTTTTTTCTTTCCAATTTTTGATGTTTTTTGTGTGTGGTAAGACGAGAGAAAAACAAAAACTTAGAACCTAAGTAAATTCATCCTAACCGACTACAGTTGTCTTCAATAACGAATAAGAAAAACTAAAAAAAGTTTTTACAGAAAAAATATTTTAGAAAAATTTTCTGTCTAAAAAAAGCTAAATGAAGTTTACGAGAGAAAAGTTTTCACCGCTTAAACAGAAGCTTTTCCTTTTTTTAACCAACTCGCTTGATAACTCGTTCAATCTTATTTCGGAAAGTTTCCTCAATTTCGATTGAATCACGACTGAAAAGGTTTTAATACGATATATGACCGACCCATTCTGATGCGTATTTGTGCTGCCTGATTTTGCGTAGAAAAAAAAACGTGAGAGAAGAGAAAAACGCACCAGAGACAAAACTCCTCATCACTTTCAATGTCGGATCAAGAACTGATTCTCAATTACGGGAAATAATCGAAAGAAAAAAGCCGAGGATTTTCTGAATTCAAACAAATTCCTTCCTATTATATGATTAAATTTTATGTATGATTTTAACTAACTTTTGGAGCCGAATGCTCGAGCACCTTCGAATTTCTAGCTTTTTCTTTTAGGTTGAAAATTGCAAATTTGTGTTTAAGCATTCAAACATCATCGACTAACCCCAACAGATGATGTAGAGGCGATAGACCAATTTCGATATTTGCTTCTTAGTCTTGGTCGAGGGCAGACCAGCCTGTCTCTGGTTTGCCCCTCCCCCTCCCCCTCCTCCACCTGCCCCTGCGACTGCGCTTCCTGCAGCCGCCGCACCCATTATATTGTGTTGCATCTGATGATGTCCATGTTTCTCTTCAATCTTCTCAAACTGACAGCAAAGATTCCTGAAAAAGTTTAGCTCCTAAAGAGGGATGTCAATATGCTTCCTTTTATCTTCAGCTGCCTCGATTGAAAAACCTTTTTTCTAAAAACTCTCTGATTGAGCATTTACAGGAGTTGTCAAAGTAATTTTTGACTTTCAAAAAATAGTTCTAAAGAAGATCACAGTCAATTATCTGACTTATCGTCAATTATTTCAAATTGTAAAGAAAATTGGTTTGCACCAAGCATGATAGACAGGCGTGATGTACCTGTTATACAAAATGAGCCATAGAGCTGCGGACAGTAGAAAATAATCTATAGCCACGAATATGAGGGAACATGCCAAATAAGGCACCCCCGCATGTTGCTGTTTCTCAAACAGATACGCGCTCTGCAAGTAGACAGGGGCCGAGCTCTCCGGAGGTTCCGAGATAGAGTCCGAGAAGTCGGAGAAGACGTTTCCGAATGCGAACAGAACGCAGAGGAAGAATATTGCTATTGAGAAGTTGCATATGACATGCAGCGATTCAGAGGCAATGAAGATACAGCTGAAACATGCAAAGAAAGGTTACAATAACCATTATGTTTTATACCGTGAAGAAAATAGTCTCACATAAATCATAAACTTATCTTTCCAAAATTGAGTAAAAAAGATTGAGCATAATTAACTAATCGACCTCCTGAAAAAAAAACTTAACCAACCATGAAATAGTTAGCTAATTGTGGCTCTTTAGAATTGAGAAAATTTCAGATCACCATAAATAGTATTTCAGGTACGATTAGGTAAAAAAACAGCTTTCATGACTGAGGATAAAAGTACACCTTTAATCTCAGTAAAACTTAACGGTCAGTAATTTTTCCTATATATGCACGAAATACATCAAAAGAAAAAATAGCAGCAAGACTTACCTTTTAAATGCGATATAAGTGACCAACAAGAGTAGCGTGAACACTGCGCAGACTGCACATCCGACTTGTATGGCCGCATCTACAGTGTGTAGTGAGTTGGAGAGGGGAGAGAGGAGGGTGGAGATGGCCACTGTTGCCAATGAGTCACACTGCACCTCACTCATGTTGTGGAACAGAGTGGACACCACACGACACCCTGCACCACCTAAAGCAAAACAAAAAGAGATAATATCTAGCTAAGGAGAAATAGACCAGTAGATAGTTCTTCTGACATGCAAACAAGAGGTCGATGGTTCCAGTCCCCCGCATCCCATAATATATTTTTGTTTCTTGAGATGGTGCAAGAATTTCGAAGTCAAACAAACCTTATAAACTTGTCCCAATGTACAAACAATATTTCATCAATATTTTATTATCTTTTCAGAGATTCTGCCTAAATACTACAAAAAAAAATAGCCAAACAAAGTTCAAAAAAGCTTTATAAATTACATAACTGCCGTTTCATGCAATCTAGGCAAACCTAAAATCTACTAAACAATACCAATACTGTGGTAACAATTACCTGTGGGAATCCAAGATCCTTCCAAATCGAAATTATCAAACTGAGACACCGACACTTTTTCCTCGCTTTCATTGATCTCTCTGGTTCTCTTCTGGACAACCCACGTAGAAGCGGTCATCGCTCCCAATTTGAATCCGCCGCCCGACGACAGTTCGTACTCGCTTCCGCCTGGGCCGTAGAACAGTGCCAGATCAGCATGAAGCGGTTTAGTTCGAACAAATGGCGACGATACGGCTGTCATGTTCGGATCCGCGAAAACTGTTGTTGGCGCTATTTGACCGATAAGAGCATCTAAACACAAGCTCATTTTGTAGATTAAAAAAATAGTAACAGACTCATTAGACCATAATATATTAAAATCTTTTACCATTTTTGGGCTCTCTTTAAACCAAAATTAAATATTAACCAGATTGTCTATGCTACATTTCGCCATTTTCAAAACACCAAGAAAACATTCAAATCAAAGCATGAAACGTGGCGAAAACTCAATCATATTTTCATTGACTGTTTACACAAAAATCTAAAACCTGGATGCAAGCTTTTTGATTGTATGACATCATGGCAAATCTGAGGAAGAACCTGTTTTGGAAATTTGAGAGACTGCCCTTTCATCACTTATTTTAAACGCGTATCCTCTTCTATATTTACGTAATACATGATTGCTCATTCAAGGACAGATGCCGTGAATTACACCACAGGCAAAAACGTTTGAGCCAAAATGACATCCTGAATCGAACGGAGAGGCTTTTATCCATCCGTAAACATCCAATTGACAAGTGTAATAAGTTAATTCACAGATAGCACTTATCACCTAACGTACGATTCAAATTTTTAATTCTAACTGGAAGCAGGAACAGTTTATAAACAGCTAAATATTAGTTTGGCAACTACACACACGTGAATAGTTTTTAGAAATAACGATGTTCAATAAATTGATGATTCGATGAAAATTAGCAGAAACTACTTTTCTTCACGATTTCGACTTACCACCGATGACTTTTGTAAATGTCCCAAATACTAAACCAAGCATCATTGAAAACAGCGTAAACTTTATAATGAAGATCGAATAACTGCGCCATGATAAACTTAGCCAACAGCTAGTAGTAAAAATGTCAATGAACTCAGCCCTTTTTAAAAAAATTCAAGAAAAACCATATCAAAACAAAAAAAGGAGCGATCTAGGACTTTCTCGACCAAAATGATTTTCCGAGCTCTCTGGAATCCCTGTAAAGACCGCATTTTGACCAAATTTCTTGCTCAGCAGGCAATTTTTTGAAAAAACGGGCCAAAAATCCCGTTGTTGGGCTTTTTTTTGGAAACTTTTGACCAAAATGCGTTTTTTCGGCGCGCTTTCCCCTTCAAAATTACTATATTTTGGTGCCGAAGATACCAAAAAAAAACGAAGGTTAAAAACTAATACCCAAGGGGGACCCTTTGGTTGGTGGGTGGGATCCCTGAGGGGGGTGTCCGCCCGCCCCAAAATTGACTATAAAGCTCATTGCATTTCATAGTTGAGAAACTAATCCAAATTGAAAAAAACTGGATCAATAGACATTTTTTTTCGCTGTGAATTCAGAAAAAAAATAACTCCATTTTTGAAACTAGAACTCACTCACGTTTTTCGTAACCTATATACTTTTGATGTTCGATAGTTGGGTTTGTTTTCCATTTACACAGAGGCGAAGTTGCACTTCGCATATATTAGCAATAATATGACCGATAACGCTACTGGGAAAAACTGAATGAGTAAAACTTTGAGTCTATAAAATTTCTTAAGTGACGCACGCCATTTATGACGCATTAGTATTACCAGTCAATTTGAAAAAAAAAAGAAATTTACCAATAACATGCCTCAATTTATAGAGCGGACGCATTTTAACTAGCATACGAAAAAGTTCATTTAAAACATCCGACGCTACCCAGGTTCGAACCCTGTTATTTTGTTGCGGGTGTCTCCTTCCCTACCTCTACGTTACAGATCCATGATACCTTGAAGCTAAAGTGCTATTTGTAATATAATAGTCTGTGTTAATATCCTTAGCATTGGCTGTACTTAATAGCTGCTTATTGATCAAAATGAATACTAATATTTGCGACTTAGGTTGGAAAAAAGAGTTTATACTATCACACAAGCTTTACTTGTGCAAACACAAGAAATAATCTAGAAAAAAATCAAACAGGGAAAAATCAAAGTCCAGCGTGATCAAACTTTTAAGTCTTTCCTGAAAAACCACACGATCTAAATAAGTGTCCTCGCTTCATTCGTTGACACTTGAAAACAAGTATGACTTCACGGTTAAACCTAAATGAAACAAAATTGCAAATGCAAAACTTCGAGTTGCTGAAAAACTTTCATCGGATTCTTTCACCCCAACGCGGTCACTTAAAATTGCAATGCGATAGCCTGATTCAATGGATTGCTGTGATCATCATAATTGAGCGACATTGGTTTCATATCCCGAGTTTCATTTTACCACTAGTTTTAGGCAACAGTTCACGTGATCAAAATCTCAAACGTCCCAGTTTTTTTTCGGACTTACCAATTTTGGCGGATGCGACTGGACTGACGATGGCCACATCTGCACTTGGAAACAGACTGGCATTTCTGAACACCACCACCTGCAGTTTGAAAAATTTGCTCAGTGGCTCACCAGAAGACGTCAACGAAGTTAAGGAAGTTGGAACTGGGCTTCCGGATAACGTGCCTGTGCTTATGTAGGGAGATGCCACTTTAACCACTGAAACACATTTGAACAATCTTATCTCATATCTTCCTATGATTAGCTACATCCTTCACTAAAGTAGTTTTTTCTTTGCAAAATACCCAAATTTGAATATGTACTCCAACTTGAAATTTTACACAGGCGAAGCTGAGCTTTGCACCGTCTGCAATACATAAAGCAATCGAACTGTAAATTTACCATTTCAAACTTGATTCGAAATGTAACATTCTGTGAGCCAAGATATTTAAGCGAAAAAAAGTCTAGAACTCGATTGCAATACCTTTGCTAATCGCAAGGGTAATAATTCGGAATTGAACTAAAATCTATCAGTTTTATCTTCCAACTCGGGGGTAGTAATTTTGTTGCGACCAATTGTCAGCAGTCATTGTTGCGACCAATTGTGGAGTCGTGGAGTGAGAAAAAATTATAGGGTACTTCGACTACTTCAAAAAAGCTCACATAAGAGTTCAAGAAGATATCATATTATAGCTCTTTTAGTCGTATTTCGAATTCTAAAAAAAAATTCAAGACCTTTTGAGTGTCGAGAAAAAACTAGTCTGACTATTCAGCTTTTTGTTCCGACTTTCGATACGAAGGTGACGGAATATTTGTGCTCGGGGTGGGTTTTTTTTTCTTCAGACAAATTTCGACTTTTTAACTAGCCATTTTTGACGGAACTTTTTTATATCATTCAAAAGGTATTGTTGTCCTGAACTTAATTTTGAAAAGATATTTCACCTGTGATCATTTTTCGTAAAATTATGGGGGTTTAAAGATTGCCATTTTGGCTAAATTGGGACAATTAACGCGCGATATATTTCGCGCTATTAACGCGTAAGCGGAGATTTAATCAGTTTTGAAATCGTTCCAAATTGGTTGAAAGAAGCTTATTTGCCATAATTGTTTTGTTACAATGAGCGAAATCTATTCTTTTAAACTTAATATGGCGTGTGGGGGGTTGATTTCATAAAAAAATTTCAAATTTAAAAAAAAAAGTTCATTTTTTTTCTTATATTTAATTTTTTTATGTTACTACTGCTCGATAAACCTGAAAAGGCAGTCGGAACATTCAGGGCTTTGCCCTGATACGAGCAGTCTTGTTGTTCCGACTTTCGGTACGAAAGTAACGGAATATTTGTGCTCGGGGTGGGTATTTTTTTTCTTCAGACAAACTTCGACTTTTTAACTAGCCATTTTTGACGGAATTGTTTTATATCATTCAAAAGATATTGTTGCCCTGAGCTCAAATTTGAAAAGATATTTTTACCTGTGATCACTTTTCGTAAAGTTATGAGGGTTTAAAGGTTGCCATTTTGGCCATTTTGACCAATTTGGGACAATTAACGCGCGATATAATTCGAGCTATTAACGCGTAAGCGGAGAGTTAATCCGTCTTAGAAATAGTTCCAAATTGGTTAAAAGAAGCTTATTCGCAAGAATTGGTTTGTTACAAGGAGCAAAATCTATCCTTTTGTACTTTGTATGGCGTGTGGGGGGATGATTTTCATAAAAAATTTCAAATTTTGGAGAAAAAAAAATTTCATTTCATTTTTTCTTACATTTTTTTTTAATGTTATTACTGCTCCATAAACCTTTAAAGGCAGTCGGAACATTCAGGGCTTCGCCCTGATACGAGCAGTCTTGTTAGACTTTTAGACTCAATTTTAGCGACGAGCGGATACTTTCACTTCACTCATTTGATGAACTATTTCAAGAACAACGCTTATTAACATAATTCAGTAATTTATTTTGTAGAAACGCGCGGTTATCGGCAGCAGGCTCATTCAAGTATTCTTTTTAAAAAACATTTATCTACTTGTTACAACTATAATTGTAGTCAGAACATTCTGTGCTACTTTCAACACTACCGGCTACTTTTGTTAATGCAATATAACTTAACAAAATTTGAAGCCCAAACAACTAATGTATGAAATTTAAGCTCCAACAGCTCATAAAAAACGGACACAGCCTTGATTATTATTCGATTTATTCTCGATTTCTGACAAGAATCGAATTTCAAAATGATTTAATTTCCTGTCTATAACAAAAGGAAGTAAAAGCTATGTAGTAACAAGATGAACAAAAAACGCAAAAGGTCAAGTAAGCTGAATTGAAACTTCAAAAGATTTGAAATAAAATTCAATTTTATGTTTTCGATATAATCGAAATAGACATCCAGAAAAAAAAATATTGCATCCCTTTCCATACAAGCTGCAGAGCTCATCAATATCAGCGTTACTATAGTTGTTCATTTGACAGACCCTTTAAAATGTTACATAACTGAGGGATCTGGCCCCAATCCTCATTTGAGCACATACATTCTAATCTGCTAATCTGTGTCCTCAATGGCAAATTTCAGTTATTATCTGCCATATGCAGTAATACACAACGTTTGAAACTTCGTCTTCTTTTTTCCCTTTATTGCTGTAGAGCGGGGGGGGGGTAGCAGTGGAGAGATCAAAATAGGTACCAGCGAATATTTTGTTGAAGTGCGGGTGTCCCATAAGGAGTGTGGACACATTCTGCTGTCGCTGCACCCCGTCCTGACACTCCAGCTGTGCGCCTGTTTTAAATGAGACTCCACTGCCGACACCTGTACCACTCCTTCCCCCTCCTCTTCTTCCACCGTCGGAAGACACCAACAGAGCACATGTGTAGCCTGAAAGAACAACTGATAGATATCGAATGCAAAGGACAGTCAAGTTTTATGCCTGTGAATATAATTCTTCGCAAAAACTTGAGCGTTTTTTTTCTAATACAGAGGCGAAGCAAAGTTTCACAACACATGCGATGCAACGCAAGCATAGCAATGCAAGCTTGCGAATCAAAAAATCGCAAATCACGTCAAAAAACCAATGAAATTATTTCGAGTTTTCGAAAAATAAATATGGCCTTAAAGCTCTATGAATTTTAAGAACAATTGATCATTGCCCTTCTTTGATAAAAAAAACCCAATTTGAGAAAAGTGGATCATTAGGTAAACTTTCTTTTCCGCTGGGAATTTTATACACGTTTTTCGTGACCTTTGCACTTTTTTGTTCGATACTTTCTACATTATATATCCATAAATCTACACCTTTAGGCAAAGTTTCTAGTTCCAATTGCTAATATTTTACTGTAACTTAAATAATAAATTTTTTTGATGCCTGTTATTTTGTTGAAACTCGATTGATTTTCAATTTTCATTATAAATCCATAGGTTCTTTCTAATTTCCTTACTGACCTGTGAATGAAGCGAGCTGGTGTATTTTGAAAACCCTCACTGCAATATTGTGTGTGTTCTCTCTGTGGACTTCTTTTGTGTCTACAGTGTGGAATATGGCAGACTGTAAGTAGTGTGTCAGCATAGTACATGAGTGGTGCTGCTGTTCTGCCTCCAGTAACAGGAGGGCGTTGAATGACATCGCATTCGACACTGTCTCCATCAACCAAGACAGCATCTAAATATGAGACATCAATATATAACAGAGTATCTAACAAGACATAATATAAAAAAAGATCAACACAGAGGCTAAGCAACGCTTCGCAAACACTGGCGAGAACCCGACAAAAAATCAGCCTTATAAAGTGAAAAAAGATATATAAATAAGCCTCGAATTAGTAAGACTTCGCAGCGTATCGGATTCAAACCTACGACCTCGAGATTTGGAGCATCACGACCTGCCCTCTCGACCACCGACGCTTTACTATCGCGAAACACTGGTCTCAAATAAAGCAGCTACATATGCTAAAAAATTGCCAATACCATGCAGCAAAAATGGCACCAATTACAAATAAACAAACTTTTGCATGTAATAAATTTCAATATAAAAAACTAAAGGCCTCCACACTAACCTTGCTGAAATCAAATTTCTGAAATCAAGTTTTTATCTTGTTTGAAATAAATAGCTTTTTTCGGTTCATTTGGTGAACTAAAAATGCATCAACTGAAATAACGTATAACTAATCGAATGTCAAAGCAGAATCGGTACTACTATGACAGAGTGGTCCCTCGAAAAAGCAACTATGATAAAGAGATCCTGCATGCATTTAGCATGTTATACATTTGACCAATTGGTGTATAAATTAATCATTTCAAAAATCTCGTGAAACATGTATGACGATTCAGAACTTTTCAGCTTAAAAAATCGTAATAAATATTTTGTATATATCAAAATGGCGAAGAGGGAAGTTTTACAAAAAAATGGAACATTTTTGAAAATATAATGCGAAATCTTTCCGAATGGCGAAACCATAATTATTAAACGATTTGAAAGCCCTAGGTGTCTTATTCTCAAGGGACCTGGTTATTTTCAAGAGACCACTCTATCATAGCAGCGCCACTCTATCAAAAAGCCGTAAAAGTGCCACCAAAATTGGCATTAAAATTTGCGACTCAGGTCGGAAAAAACAATAGTCGTACTTTAACACTACGCTGACTAAAGCTTGCTAGTATATAAACCAATATACAAAATAATTAAAAATCAAATCTTATAATTCAATATCAAAATATAATCAAGTTAAATACCGTGCCCACTTCTTCAATTCTGGCAGCCAAATTGATTTCAATCTGCACCTGGTTTGCCAATAAACCTTAATATTGAGAGGAACAGCTTTCGAAAAAAACTGCGTCTTTTTGGCCATTTCGAAGCTTCGCAAATCTCGGAAAATTGAAACAAATTGATCTAAAAATGTAACATAGGGCTTTGCTAAAAATTATAATTCTGGATCAATGGAGATCAACTCTGAATGGTTTGATCTTAAACAGTTTTCCAAATTTTCAAAATTCGTTTCGCTAGAAAAAAAACATTGCCTAAACTCTCACTTTTCTCAATCGGAACGACTACCTTGCTGACCAGTCTTATTCAACTATTGAATTTTATTTTTTAAGTAATTGAATGCAGCTGTCAACAAAGCACACAAACCCCATCGATAAGTTTCTGGCCAATCATTGCTTTTCTTAAGCGGAACGACTACCTTGCGGACCAAAATTATTGAACTATTTCTGTTCAATTTTTTGATTAATTGAATACAAAAGGAAACATACCGCTTCGTTGAAATCTTCTGTCCTGTTCATATAATGGTACAAATTCTGCACAGTTAGAGCAGAAAACGTCACATCCTCAACATTTTCCATTGTAGAACTCCACGTGGTCACATTTGACAAATTTTCAGCTATTGATCTCGCTTTTTTCAAGGTCACTTTATTTGGTTTATCTCCACTTGTTGAACTGAAGACTGTCTTCAGTAACAATTCTGATTCCATGAAAAGTCTCGTTACTGTCTTCGACAACTCGCTCCTAAATTGACACGTGGAGAAGTCACTAAATTGCCATGTTCCATTTTCAGAGCACATTTTATAAGCCGAGGGTTCTCTAGCGAATACTTCCGACCGTCCAAATGGACAAGTCAGAGTTTGTTGGTGACCGGCGACTGTTTTCGGCCAATTAAAACTTCCCTTCGTGGTCTCCTCTTCGAGGGTAGGACAGAATACTGCGCCTGGCTTTATGATTTCGATGGATACCGTCTTTGCCGGAAGAAATAGAGAGTCATTACTTTCGGATTTGATCTAAATATCAAAAATATATGAAAAAAAAACGCACCTTAATCAAAACAACTGTACCCGCAATCTATAGTTAAAACTGAAATCACCAAAACTGAGTTAATGCGTGCAAATTAAACCTCAAAAACGTGCTTCTTAAGCCTTCTACAAACGTAAAATCTTTTCCCAAAAACTCAGGTCAAGCAAATTAGCACAGCGTGACTCACCAAACAAGACCATTCTCCGGCATGACTCTCGTCCAGCTTCTCAATAGCCACCGAGAACAAAGTGACAACTCCATTTGGCGCCAAATCCTTCACCGTAATATCCAAACCCAGCCTCTCCCGCACCTTCTTGTTCGAAAACAAAGAAATGAATTTAAGCTTAGCCATTCGCAAAGATATATGAAACTAAACAATGCTCGAACGAAGAGACATTCAAAGTTCGAGTTCATCTATCCACTTAAAAAGAAGCATTTTAACTGCTTATCGAATTTTGAGCTTTCTACGAGTCTGTCATAACATTAAAAAGGTCAGAAAAGAAAACAGAAGACTGTAATGGTATGATTTTGTTGAAAAATAACATGCTCAAATTCATTTCAAAATCTGAAATTGAATCGTTACTTTGAATCTGCCGATGATGGAGTCCTTGTGACTCCATACTACTTCGTAGTCCGAGGGAAGAGTGACTGAGCAGTTGAGCACCATGGAGTCCTGTTCGAACAGGAGCTGAGTCGACCCGGCTGGAGGGTAAGTCTCGTACACAGGCAGTTGCTTCTCGCCTTGACCAGCTGAAAAAGAAGTATTCGAACTTGAATGAAGATGGTCGGATTCGAAGTTAAATACAAAATGAATAAAAAAATTAGGCAGATTCAAATTACCATAGCTTTAAACAGCAAAGATTAACTTGGATCAAAAATTCCAGAAAAGAAGAATGTCTGACTGCCGTTAGTTTAAATGTTTAAAATCCTAATTTATCAGACATTTCATTTGCTTTTTGTCTTCTCATATTTTGATGTTAATTTTCTGCATAATATCCCACATTTTGCAAAAAAAATTACAGAAATAGTATCTTAAATTATTGATAGAGCTCCTATTTTCTTGCCAACTAACTTTCTAGGCTATTGAAGCAGAACAATAAAATTAAGGTTTCACCTAATTGTAAAAGCAATTTTATGTTTGTACACATTCAGAAGTCTTTTCACTAACCGGTCTCACACACATCCGGTTGAACCGAAAACCTATTGTTCAAAAGTTTCGCTTTTGGTCCCCTAACATCGAACTCCGAGTCCATGTTCTCATTACAAATCGTATCTTCCGAGATCGTCAGACTCCTCATCTTCGAGTTCAGAGTTCGGTTTTTCAGCTGAGTGATACTCTCTATGAATTCGCACCGACAGTAAAGATATGGATTGGCAATGCTTAGAGTCTCGAGACTGGTGAGGTTGTCGAATAGATTTGGCTGCGGGTAGAACCAATTCAGATTGTAAGAGATATTGCTAAAGAAAAAGAAACAATTTTAAGCTGAGATGATTCAACGGCGAGCGGAATGACCTCCATACAAGCTGTTCCGCTCTTCAGGGCACAGCAATTAAGACCTACATGCATTTTTAAAATTATTTTCTAAGTTGGTAATGTTGCCTCGTGCTCAAGAAACAAGCACGGACCATGGTCGGCCGCGAGCATAAACGATGTCGAAAACTGTTATTATAACTTCTTAAGCAACCAGTTGCAAAATGTTACATGTCAAAATGTATTGAACGCCTCGACCAAGAAAAGAAAAAGGTTTGCGGAGCTTACAACCTTAATTAAACATAAACGATAAATTTTCCCGCCATTCAGAACAAATGTAGTCAACTTACAGAACTTTCAAATTGCTCAGCCCTTCAAACATCTTCCACGAAAATTGTCTCAAATTGTTGTGTGACAAGTCTCTAAAACAACATTATACCTTTACAGACCATATTTATGGCAAATTGTTATTTAAGCTCTTAAAACGAAAACGCTTTTCTTGTTCGCTGAAAATTTCCTTCATAGCCTAAACTGTGAATGAACTCTTCTTGCTGGCAATAAAACTTGCACACACATTATTTTATGCGCACAATCAACTCGGTTTGTTTATGTTTTTGAGGACCCTTGGTAATTAGTTCTGTAGGAAGTAGTAAACAAGCAATTAATTAAAGGTGTGCTGAATTTAAGCTGAAAACAATCAGTGCCTGATCCCTTGACTGATTTCAGAACCAGTCATTAAATTGTTTTCTATAAGATCAATGGTCCAATTGTAAAAAGTTATGTATCAACGGTTTCCTTCTTTGGATCAGTCAACAAGTCGATTGTTCGGCCAAGCCGAAATAGAAAAATTTCAGTCTTCCGACATACCCTTGTCATAACAACCCATTGTTATAATCCATCCTCTAATTTATCCCATACGAGCATTTCCAATATTTGCAATTATTTTCGCATTCCCGACTGTCGAATCATAAAGTACTAGCAATAAAACTTCTTAGTTAGTGTTTTAAGTTCACTCATGGGAAACGACAAACCCAACTTCTTAAAATAGCAGACTTTCTCTTTCCGGTTACAGTTTGACCGCTTATTTAGTTTATGACTACGACGCGCGTCTGATATTTTAGATTTAATATGGCTCTATAAAACGGGGATTAGTATAACTGAAAAGGGGAATTGTGAATATAGAAGTAAACTTGGAAAGGCACTTACAGGACTTGCAGGTTCTTCAGAGGCTTAAAAGCACCGTCCGGAATTCGTTCGATTCTGTTGTGACTCAGGTTCCTGAAAACAAGCAAAAATTAATTAGTAACTTCTTATCCAAAGCACAAAGTTAATAACGAATGACTGAAAAACGAAGTCCTAAAACATAATGGTCATATGATTTTACCTTTAAATAAATGGTCTGAAATTGTCAAGTTTTAAAACAGGAACAAAAAATTGGTAATCAGGATTCGACAGCACATTTCAGCTTTCATGATTTGATTTGTATGAAAAATTTAAAGATCGAAACTAACATTTTTTCATTTTTCATACATTGGTACCAAATTGGTCTAACCAATTCGAGGAATGCAAATACTTACAAGTATGTAATATCGTCGAGTCCCAGGAACGAATCCAGCTCTATCAGCGATATATTGTTACCCTGTGAGAAGTCCCATCTGCTGCCCCCATCTAGTCCTCCTCCCCCACTGCTCGCCCGCATCACCTCCGCACTGGGCAAAGTGACCTCGAAGTTACTACATCTGTTCATCTGGTTGGAACACGTGCAATAATACGGACATGATTGCACACCATGAACCAACAGAGCAAGTGCCATGCAAACTAATAACGACAGTCCACCAAATCCATAATTGATGCTCATGGCATTCCTTTTAGGCATAGTGGTTCAATAATCCAGTGTTAGTTTCTCTCGAAGATGAAAAAATGAATACTTGGTTGAAAATAAAATAAAAATAGGTTAATATTTTAGGCATGTACAGACTCGCAATTTTCGTGGAATAATCCTAGGATCCATAATGGCTACTCGAGATAATAATATCTTCATTTTGTTGCATTTATGGCCTTATCGTCATAACTAACCTGAAAATGTCAAAATTAGTTTTATATACTGATGGCATTCTAATTTTTGAATCAGCAAATCCTATTTAAATATTTAAATGGGAGGGGAGGAGACAAAAATGATGCTTGAGAAAAATTGCAGAAATCATGGCAAAAAAAGTGAAAATAACACTCTTTGACAGTTAAGTTGCATTAACTCTCAATACTAGAAACTTGAAACACTCGTTGATTGCAGTTGAAAAAGGCTCTAATGCGACAAAATGGAAAAACATTTCCCCAAAATTGACAAAAATAGTACGCCTACTGCACTTTAAAAAATAACGAAAATAATCCCGCCCAGACAAAAAGAAATAAAAAAATGATTTTAATGCAAAATGATTGCTAAATATATATTTGTCTGCGGAAGACTAGCATTTTGTTTTTAAAAAAATGAAATTTGTTGAATCACAATCCAAAACAGTCGTCAGAAATAATAAACATCCAGCTTCTAGGTAATATAACTCAATTTTCTTCAATCAACAAAAGAACGTCAATTTGGATTGAGGGAGAACAAATTCAATTATAATCGGGGATCAATTTTAACTTAAGATATCTGTCGGCTAGTAATTAATTATGCTAAGGGCACAACAAACGGAACAGCATCCATTGTTAATCTCCCAGACAGAAAATGACTAGCATCCAACCTACCTTTGATTTATGGACAAAAAAGGGGAAAATGTACGTGGACCGAAGGGCACAAGAACACATCGATCGAATGAAAACAAAATAAATATCGAAATGCGATCTCACCCAAATTTTTCACGCAATTTTCAATCCAATTTAAAAGCCATGCTTTAAGGTAAATAGATCATTACAGGGGAACATCATTATGAAAAGAAAAGGGATTTTAAATTATTATAAGGATGGTTGATGATTTCAAAATGCTGTTCTAGTCATCAGCCGTGGAAACACAAAATCGTACGTGATACTACGAGAAAACTACAAAAAGTAATTTAATGCTGCGCAAACACAAGTGAAGGTTAAGAACGCATTATCACTTATCAGTATGAAAAAGAACTATCCAAAAGGCTGATAATAAAACTGAAGAGAATAAACAATTAACGAAGTCTGAATTTGAAGCGGAAACTTCTGAACAGTAACGTTCTCAAATTCTTCTGAAAAAATTACACTTCGCTATAGCCAACTCTGTCTCGAAATTTTAAAAGCTTAAAATTTAAAACCCTTTCAGCTGAGTTGCAAATAATGGTCTGAAAAACTTGCAATTTATCACTCAGAAGGCATGGCGAAACCAGATAAGAACAATTTTTTTGGTTCTTTTTTTTTCTTTTCTTCAGCAGATATCATTCTGCAAAATAATAAATATCTAACCGATCATAATCGATTTCATTATTCCCTACGCTAGAACTGTGAAGTTTCTCAGCAGACAGATTTACATTCTAATTGGAAACAGTCGATCGCAAATATAACCTCATAAAACCAGTATTTTATGACCAGGTCTATTGAGAATAAGAAAATATGATCTATGTCAAATCAGACTAAAATTTGAAAATCGACCAAGGACAAACAAAAACCTATCTGGTCAAAAATGGATATCACAACAAGCAGAGAGTGTACAGGAACAAAAAATAGTCTTTATGAAGATTGGCGAATCGGTTAATTGTTCTGGTTATGCCATAATTGCTCACAAACTACGATAGAATAAGAAAATCATTTTAGACTTAATTTCTTAAAATTTAATCTTTTTGTGACAAATTGGAGCATTAGAAGACAAAACAGAAGATACAAAAACTAAATCTATCAAAGAGAAAAAAAAATCTTGGAACTCAATAAACTGCTTCATTACTTAAATACATCAAAAGGATTTTCAATTATAATGAAAAATGCTTAGATCATTGCAGGAAAAGTCAGAGCCGTTTCAACTGAGTCGACGAGAAATCAGTAGACAAACAATAGGCTGATAATTACAATTTTCATGCTAAAAATTTACAATTTGCGAAAATATCAGATCCTGATCAGACGTAAGCTCTGCGCCAAATGTGCAGAAATTTGAGTTTGAGTATATTGAAAATCAAGCTATCAATGATTTGGTTAGACAATTTGCTTGCCTGAAAAACAGTCATTTTCGATTTTGTAACGATTACTAAATAGCAAACGTAATGAGAATCAAGCTCAAACCAGAGCAATACTCAGCATTTTCAACAGCTAAGGTGGAAATCAAACAAAAGAGTTGAGATGATCGGACAGACAATCCACCGGGAAACTAAACTCCATAGAAATTTAACTCGCAACATCAGACAAGATTTGAGAGCGTACAACTGGTTAAGTAAAAAACGATCTCGGTAAAAAAATGACAAAGAAAAACTATCAACACTGAAGGCATGATTCTAAAATTAAAGACTCAACGGAAATTTTCCACTGTACTGCGCTAAAAAAAGTGGACAAATTTATGCCAACGCAAAAAAAAACAGAGCAATCCAACTAGCCAAAACTTTTTCTAAAGCAATATCAAGTGCCGATACAAATGTCAGAGCTAGCAAGTACCCGAAAACTATGTAGGTTAAAACCAAGAGGAAACAACTTAGTTTGAAAAATCTAAAAATGTGAAGGAAAACATCAACCTCTTGAACGTGAAATATATGAATACGTGAAATTCTAATGGCGAAATTGTACAAAATTTATTTCTCTTCATTTACAAAGCGGCACATTGTTTATTTGCGTCTGATAGAATAGCAAAAACATATGGCCCGTTTTTCTCGAGAAAACTTTTTCGAATATCATTTTGGAATTCGAACAATGTGTTTCAAGGGCTTTAACGTGGTGCCTGTAAGTTTTCTTTAAGGTACCTAAAATTTCGCAATATTCCAAATACTGCAGGAGTTGTCGGAACATTATACTAAAGAGAAAATTATCGCTTTAGTGAAACTTAAAATCTATATCCTTATAAATAAGAGTAGGAAACACATCCCACTTATAACAAGGGCAATGAAATATTCACCGACATAATGACAGAGACCATGAACAAAAAAATCGATGAAATCAATTTTTCAAAAACCACATTTCGTTTTTGAAGGAATCTAATTCGAATTCCAAAACAACGAAGTAAAAACGGTGTAAACTGCTAAAATAAAACAAAAAAAGCTGAACATTTGATGTTCACTGCAAGTTTAATTTGGTATCACCAATGAAATAAGGTCGTGATGCAACTGATATTAACCGGTTTTTTATTGTGTAACTCAATGTTAATGAAGACAGACATTTGTGGCGAATTTGAACTTCCTTCTTATTTAAAATTTCATTCCATTTCATGCCTGTGAAATAAAGGAAGGGTAAATGGCGTGATTGTGTTGGTTGCCTGCGTTGGAAGGTAAAAAAAAAGAGGAAAAAAAATACGTCAGCAGACTGCGTGGTAAAAAAAAAAGGAGATTAAAAATAATAAGTAGAATTTACGGTAATAAATTTTCAGCAACGGCCTTCCTGACTCTTGTGTTGCAGTGGCAATAGTAGGATGCGGGTCTTTCAAGATGCCAAATCCCCTTTTAACACACACACACACACACACACGTATACACACATAGACGCAGAACTGGTACTGCTTTTTTTTAGCAGTAACAAGGGTACATAGATGTGTTGGGTACCATTTATATATATATACAATTTTACATATGGACCGAATAATCGGAAATGGATTTATATGAAGAGTAATGAGAATAATATGAAGTTATGGCTCTAAGTAATTGCCAGGCAAAAACACTGCCTCCAAAGTAGAAATTGATTTGAATTTGGACCCTCCCCTAAATGGCTTTTGTCAGTTATATCAGGTACGGTCATTGGAGTAATAACATAGTAACAATCATAAATTCACGAGCAAATCAAAACTATCAAGAAATATTTTAGAACAGCTTGACAAACCAGGTGAAACCTAAACCCAAATAACGACAGAAGGTAACAAATTTGATATAACTGTTGAAATTTTGCCTTTTGACGGTCTGTTAATTTCAAGCTAGCGCCTCCCTAATAAAGATTAAAGCACACAGGCAATTTTACAAGTTAATGGACAAACATGTATCTATGCGTGTAAGTAGCAATGCAAAATGTAGCAACTGTGTTCTCTGCTGGCGTCCCGGGGTAAGAGTTAAAATTATGGGGAATGAAATGGTGCCTTAAGGCGGTCGTTTGCTCTTCTTACCATTTCTCCTCTAGATTTTACTACTTGTAATATCCACTTGTATAGCGAACAAGAATCGCCTTCTCGAAAACTAATCACAATATGGGCCGGGCAAATTCTATTCCCAATAGGTAGCTAAATCATGTAGCAGGCCGCTCTACCAGTAGAACCAATTCTTAAAAAGAAACTAAAAACGGCATAAATATGATAGACTTTTAAAAACTTTAATAATCTAACTTCTGTCAAATGACTTATTTTTACCGCAAAAAGGGCGGTTGAAGGCTTTTCAAGGAGCATGCATTTCACAAGTGAAAATTAACAGCATAGTATTTTATGTAACTTCTTTTACCAAATAATGTGGAAAACGGATCTAATGAGTGTCAGACGGATCTAATGCTACATCTTATTGAAATCGCTTCCTGATGTTTTTCCAGTATCGGTAAAAATAGTTGAGATTTAGCATTGTTTGACTAATGTAAAACCACGAGAGAAAAAAATAGTCTTTCATAAAAAAAAGAACCTAACTTTGTTCTGCTGAGAGCTGCTACTGTTATTAACACGCAATAAATGAAATTCATCATCTCCCGGGTTTTTTGATTTTTTCTTGCAAAAATTACCGTTTTCGCAACATTCTTCGCTATGTACATATTAATCGACTGTTATAGTAATGAGTAAAATACATTGAAAAAGCCTTGTGTACCTATATGCCCTAATACCTGTCGGCCCAGAGCTCAGTGTTCTGTTAACAGTCATAATCCGAAAAAGCACTTCTCAATTCATAGCAATGTTTATGACATGACTTCTGCATTTCTTACCAAATCACAAAGCTCCTTTACTCCACAAACATAAAAG